TAGTAGTATACATTAGTCCAATGTATTAAAACAGTTTTAAAAAATATTGTTAAAATTTCTTCAATAAAGGTGGCAGAATGTAGTAAAAATTTAGCCGAAAGTAATTTAGTTAACCAAACTTCCCCCTATGAGACAGCCCCCGGCTCTCTAACAGACATACGTGTTATTGAAGAACAATTACGTGCTGATTTGGAGACAGCCAGAGAAAACGAAAATACACAAAAAGCCAGAGCAGATAAGTTACAAGATATTGTTGCGAAATTAGAAGAAATGTTGGAACGTTTCAACGAACAAAGTCTCTCACCTACTAAACCACTACCAGCTCCCCGCAATGGTGGTGGTGGCCATGGCAATCAACTACAGTCTGTGGGTGATATGTTGGAAAAACAAAATGAAAAGCTGGAAGATAAACTGGCAGCTGTACGTGAACAAATGATTGTTGAACGACAATCGGCACGTTCAGCCAATTTAGCTTTATGGAAGGCTGAAAAACAACTTGAAGAGGTATTGGCCGAAAAGAAAATGACTCAGAGACGGATGGAATTGACGGAGGAACGTATTAAGAAAATACAAGCGGAAAAAGAAGAAGCCATACGTTTGGGTAAATTAACGGAAGAAGCTAAAAAACAGAAGGAAGAAAGAATTGAGGAAATGAAACAGGAAATTAAGGCTTTGAAGGCGGATATCCAAAAGGAACATCGTATGTGGGAAAGAGCTGAACAGGAGCGCATGAAATGTAAATCTGAGGTAAGTGTTGTTTGTTTACTTTAAATTTATGTAAAATTTGATTTATCACTAAAAATTCAGTTTTTCGTTAAAAATTCTATTTTTTACTAGAAATTCGGCTTTTCACTAAAAATTTGATTTTTCATTAAAAATTCGATTTTCTAAAATTTGTTATTTCACAATTTTTCGTGAAAAATTATATTTTTACAAGAAATCCAATTTTTCACAATAAATTATAATTTCCACCAGAAATCCGACTTTGCACTAAAAATATGATTTTCCACAAAATATTCCGATTTTTCATTTGAAAGTCTGTTCACAAAAATCCGATGTTTCACTAAAAATTCGATTTTCACGAAAGATATCAGATCTTTCACTAAAAATTCTACTTTTAGTAATTTTCAATTCAATCAGTTTGAAGACCCCATATACCATAAAATGACACATGTCCTCGATACTTTTAAATACAAATTTCCCATATTTTATCTTTCCCTCCAGATTATTGAACACATTTCAAATTGCAAAAAATTGGAGGAAAGATTAAGCGAAGTCCGACAAAAACTGCAGCAGTGTCAACAAAAATGCGATAAACTAGATGTGGAAAATAAAACTCTTATTAAAGACATTAACGAGGAAAAAGATCGTCACTCAAACACTATCGATCAGTGTTCAGCATTGCAAATACAATTGAAAAATCTACAAGACAATTACGAACGTTTAAAATACGCTTGTACCGTAACCGATACACAATTAACTGAGGTGGAAACTATGTTGGAAAAGGAACAAAAATGCAATAAATCGCAACAGGAAAAGCTCGATCAGTTGTATGCTGCCGCCCGTAAAAAGGATGAATTGCATGCTCAGCTAAAGAAACAATTGGCCGAAGAACAATTGCAAAAACAAGCCAACGAAACACAAATTTCTGAATTAACCAGCGAACTGCAAGAATGTCGTTCCAATCTAGAGGAATTACAACGAAAGTTTTCTAACCAACAGCAATACGCCATGGAACAAACAACAAGTTTGTTTATAACACAAGAAAAAGTGGAAGTCTTACAGAATGAAAATCAAAATATACAAGCGGTCAATGATAATCATCAGCGTGAGCTGTTGCTTTTAAAAGAAGAAAACGCACGTATTTTATCGGAACTCTTTATTGCCAAAGAGGAGTGCCAACAATTGCAACAGAATCTCAAAGATGTTTATGGTCAAAATAATGAATTGCAAAATGAGCTACAAGATCTGAAGAGACAACAAGAGGAAAAGGAAAACTTTTATTTACAAAGAGATATTAAATCTGAAGCTACCTTAGCTCAACATAAAAAATTAATAGATTATCTACAATTAAAGGTAGAGGATTTAACACAAAAGAAAAAGAAAACTTTGGCAGATAAACTATTTGGCAGTAATAATTCTTCAAACTCTAGTAAGAAGGAGAACATGGGACCTTCATCGGTAGAATCTTCAATACTTTACCGCACGTTAAATGAGGAATTGAAAAGGGAAAAACTAAAATCAAAGTCTTTGCAAGAGCAATTAGATAAATTACAAGAAAAACAAATTTCGATTACAATGAGATCACCTTTGAAAAGTAAAGAGAATCAGGCGGAGCAAAAAACACGAACCATTACAAAATCTCCCAAAAAACAAGAAGAAAATAGAATTTCTCTTACAACAGCTAACACAACATCACCAAAGAAAAATAACCTTGACATCGATGAAGGTGGCGGTACAGCCAAACATTTACAAGCTCATCATCGTTTTGAATTAGCTTTACAAGAAACTAATATTGAAGCTGTTAATTGTTTAGCTTGCAAAAATCCCATTGTTTCGGGAGCAGCGTATTGGAAATGCCGGGAATGCAAGAATGCGGCACATCGCAAGTGTCGCAGTGAGGTGAAACAAGCTTGTGGTGATGTAGGTGCCATTTTGGCAGCTTTTGCTAGCGAACCGGCGGCCGAATGTTTGGAATCTTTAGGCATGGAAGCCACAGCTCCTTTAGAAACCGATTTGGATGCTGAATCTGTTGGGAAATTTTCATATGAGGGTAAATTAGATGAAAACGATGAGGGTACAAGTTGTGATGATTCTTTGCCGCTTGCCAACAAAAAGTACCAGGGATCGTTGGTATTTTCAGTACCACAAAATTATACCGAAGACACTCTAGAAGTGGCCTGTGCCTATGAGATGGAGGAAAATAAAATTCTTTTGCTTGGCTGTAATACAGGTCTGTATGCTTTGCATTTGGAGCAGCAAAAATTAGTGCATATTGCTGGTGTTGATGCGGTCAGTTGTATAGCTATTTCTCAGCCTTTGGCTAAGGTTATAATGGTGGGTTCAAATGGGGAATCCTTGTACCAATGTGATCTAAGACACTTACAATCACGCAGCCAAGCAAGTGCTTGTTTAAGACCAGCTTTAGAGGCTTCAGTTTTGGATCTTCCGTTTGCCAATAGAACTTCTACTGAAAAATGGAAACTTGTACAAATATCACAAGAAAGTGAACAGCCTTTAGACACCGTGGCCATTGCCTCCACCTCTACACGTATTGTTATTCTCAAGTACGATGTTAAACAGCAGAAATTTAAACCGGTTCGTGCATTGGATACTGCTACTCCTGTATCTTCTATATTCTATACACGTCACACGGCCATTGTAGCTTCAGATAAATTTTTTGAAATCGATCTTTCGACCTATGGAGCTGAAGAATTCGTGGATGTTGCCGATCAATCGCTATCGCATACACAAAATTGTCAACCGGTGATAGCGTTGCGTATATCGAAACAAGAACTGCTTTTGTGTTTCATGGAATGTGGGGTGTTTGTGGATGAATATGGTTGTCGGTCACGACCCTACGACCTTAATTGGGAATATACTCCCTGTGGTTTTATGTATCGTGCCCCATTTCTTTATGTGGCCCATTTCCAATCTGTACAAATTATACGTTTACATCGTTCTTACACCAATGAAATGTTGACTGCAGCCGGTGGTGCTGCCGCCCAAAAAGACTTGGATGCTGATGTAGATGATACAAACAGTGGTGGTCCACAATTGAAACGTTCCTATATACCCTTCTATATGCCTACATTACTCAACGAAAGCGGCAAATTTAATGCCTTCATGCTGGCCATACAAAAAAATACTGGACTTCAAGAGATCTATCATCTTGATGCCCTGCAAACCTTTAGGCAACAACACAACGAATCAATAGATACTATTTCATCTATTGCCACTTCTGTGACATTGGATTCAATGGCTACCACCACTGAATGAGAGCAAAAAACATTAAATTTTGTTTATCTTTTTTCATGTTGCATGTATTAGTATGTTACATGTTATTTTCTTTTGGTAATTTATTAATTTTTGTAAGATTTTTTTTTTTAAATTCTACTACGCATATGTATTATTTTAACAAAATGATTTTTTAAACACTTTATTTATGTACAAAATTTTTAAATAAAACATGGTTAAGAATATTTCTAGTAATTAAAATCATTCTTTTTGTTTTTCTGGTTTTCTTCTTTATACATTTTTAGAAGTTTTAATATTTTTAAATCTTTCACCTTCTGAATGTCCGACTGCTCACTGGTTTTTCGAAAACAATTATCTGAAAACCCCTATATATGTACATATATATGTATATCTAAAAGTATGATTTCAAATATCCTATTTAACGGGCATAAATATATTAGCAGTACTTTTATGGAATGAAGTTACTGTTATTAACCTATCAAAAAGCTGATAGCTATGAATTTACATTACAAGCAAATTTTCATAGTAATCTTTCATCCTGTTAATAAGATTTCAAATTCTTCTTGGCTATCAATATAATTTTTTATATCTATTTCAACAAACATCAATAGTCAATAATAATTATCTATAAAACTTTAAACATTTTCCAACAAAAGTGTTTGTATGAAAATAAACATTCAAATTGCGCGCCATTCTAAAAAACACGGCCATCTTTTTATCTACATTATTGTTTTGTATTGCAAAAATTCCTATAACTGCACTTGTTCCTCACACTAGTTTATCAATTGAATGTCATAGTTATCTCACTCTGTTTAAAGTTTTTGCATAACGAACAAGAGCACAAAGAAAAACAACAAAAATAATATTTTCATTACAGTGCTGACAACTTAGAAACGAGAACACATATATATAAATATGTTACCAGCTAGCTGTATGTGTTCAATTATGTTACGTTTTATACCCGGCTACACAATAGCTGTCTCTTTTCTACTTTAAACTATGGCAAATGTCGCCATATTGCGTATTAAAATGTAACACTGTTTCTTCCACTTTTGACGAGGCAAGTAGGCAAGCAAGGCGAACGAACAACTGTCGTTGAAAAAGGCAGCAAAAAAGTGGAAAGTTAAATTTTTCCTTTAGGAAAATTAACGCAATTACGGCCTATAGAAAATAAGACTATATAAAGAATTGTGTTATTAAAAAGTTATAAACTTTTGTCTAAAGAATTCTGTTGGATTTAGCCGCTGAAAAACAATAGAAAGTGTGAGAAAGTGATTACAGTATAAAAGCCATCTTGCGGCCGAGTCGTTTTTTTTTGCGAAAGCCAGTGAAAGATAGTGACTGAGCAAATATATAGACAAATATAAAGGCCAACTTTATTTTTCGTTTGCTGGTTTTATTTTACTTAATTTAAATTGAGAAAAATTCTAAAAAGAAATATTGCAAGTGTTGAAATTTATAAAGTTGGACGGGAAAAACTTTGAAAAAAGTGTAAACGTGTATCTGAAGTAAAAACACACCGCAAAAAAAGACTGCTTTGTTGTTGTACACACAAATTTGTCTTATTTTTTTTTCTTAATTTTCGTTAGTTCCCATTGTTCAAAATTATAGTTGAATTTTTTTATTGCGCAAATTGAAAATAGCCACTAAAAAACAAAATGAGTGGCGGTATGCCGGAGCTGGGTTCGAAAATCAGCCTTATATCTAAGGCTGATATTCGTTATGAGGGACGTCTTTATACAGTGGATCCTCAAGAATGTACAATTGCTTTATCGAGTGGTAAGTATTGGAAATTAAGTTAAAATTAATATTTGTAAGAAAATAATATACTTATGTACATGTAGGAACATATGTACATAGGACTTTATAGAAATGCCGTTATCAAACGGTAAAATTGTATTTTTTCTTATTTTTACATATTTTCTGTTTGGTCTTTCTTTGTCAAGCTGGCATCGTCGGCTCTTTTACACCGTCATACTTTTTATATACATTTTTTTTGTTTTTTTTTTTACTGCCCCCTTTTTTCTAACTTATCACCTTTATTGCGAGTACAATTACATATGTACATAAATATACGTCTATGTATGTAGATAAATATGTATGTATTTTTGTTTTTCTTTTTGTATGTATATTTGTTTGTTTGCCATTATAAATTTCTTTTATTTTACTTTTCCTTAATTCTAATAAGATTTTATTTCTTTCTGTTGCTGTTCTGTTAATTTTTTTTCCTTTTCGTTTTACTTGCATATTTGTTTGTTTACTTTTGTTCACATGTTGGCAGGCAAGCAGACAGGGTAACCTTTAATCCGTTATAATTATGTATAACGGTTTTTTGTAATTTCTTTTTCTTTTCCTTGTAATACAATTTTATATTTTTATTATATATTATTTTTATATATTGTTTATACATTTTACTTATTATGTATTTTAATTTTTATAAAGGAACAAAAATGTATTAGGCCGTTTATTATCTCCATATATTCCTTACTTCCATAATTTAAAATAGTATATTTATCTGTGTTTCGATTTTTTTTAAGTCTTAACCAAAGATAAAAAATATTGGGGTTTCATAATAATAAAAAAAAAAATAAATAAACTTATTCGTGAATTAACCATAACAATGGTTAAATTATTGATAAATTTAATAATTTTTATGGTAAAATACAGGGGTTCTCTAGTATTTTTCTTTAAGCACCTTACGAGAAATTTGTGCCATCCCAAGGAATTCAATAGATATTTTGATTTTCATACATATGAAGTAATATGTACCTGTATGTATTTTTTAAAGTTGCATGAAGATATGACCAAGGAAGAAGAGGAGCTGTAGGAATAAGCTCAGTCAGCATATGCAGCGCAAATATGTATCGCGAGAATTTTCATGGCAGACAGGCAACAACCTGGATCTAAAGAATGTTCAGTTAAAGTTTGGACTTTAAAATTTTATCACCTCTAGTGTAGAGAGACAAACAATAGAAGTCCAATTTTTCAATAGATTTGCTTTAAATTGAAGAAAATGCATGAAATTGCAAATGCTCTTAAAAAATTCTGCACAAAATCAATGAAAACTGGACTTGTGACCAAAAATTTGTGGTTGGTTGTCATTATCATTAGAAAATGTAAAGAATCCTTAATTCGTACATTGGCTAGTCTATATAGTATTTTATAGACTAGGTATTCTATGGAATAGTCTGTTGGCAAATCTATGTACTAGTCTATATTCTTGTTGATTGAATAGTTTAAGGAATAGCTTATTGTTTACCTATGTACGTATATGTTAGTCTATTAAAAGTCATTGGGCTGTTAACTAGTCTATGCAAAACTCTATAAACTATCGATCAGTCTATGTATTCCGTCTGTAAGCAAGTTTGTGGACTTGTTTATTGGTTATATTAAGGAGTAGTTTACAGATTATTCTATGGATTTCTTTACATTGTTCTGTTAACTAGTTTATGGAATACTCTATGGACTCCTGTATTGACTCCTCTATTGACTATAGGGTAGTTTATTTAATATCCTGTTATTTACAATTCTATAGTCTACGGAGTACTTTATGAACTGAAATAAAGTCAGTTTTTAGTGACAAATCGAAATCTTTTATAAATAGATAATTTATTAACATATTTACAAAAAGAATATTTTTCCGAAATAAAACCGAAATTTTCTGTAAAAAGAATATAAAAATTATTATCGGAAATTTTCTTCAGTTCAACATTTGTTCAGTTTGAGATCAGTTCTAGTTCTTGTTCAATTTTAGTACAGTTCTAATTCAGTTTCTAGTTCAGTTCTAGTTCAGTTCTAGTACAGTTCTAGTTCAGTTCTAGTTCAGTTCTAGTTCAGTTCTAGTTCAGTTTCTGGTTCAGTTCTAGTTCAGTTCTAGTTCAGTTCTAGTTCAGTTCTAGTTCAGTTCTAGTTCAGTTCTAGTTCAGTTCTAGTTCAGTTTCTAGTTCAGTTCTAGTTCAGTTCTAGTTCAGTTCTAGTTTTCATTTCAGTTCTAGTTCAGTTCTAGTTCAGTTCTAGTTCAGTTCTAGTTCAGTTCTAGTTCAGTTCTAGTTCAGTTCTAGTTCAGTTCTAGTTCAGTTCTAGTTCAGTTCTAGTTCAGTTCTAGTTCAGTTCTAGTTCAGTTCTAGTTCAGTTCTAGTTCAGTTCTAGTTCAGTTCTGTTTAGTTTAGTTCTAGTTCAGTTCTAGTTCAGTTCTGTTTAGTTTAGTTCTAGTTCAGTTCAAGTTCTAGTTGAGTTCTGTGGAGTACTCAATGGACTAGACTACTGAGTAGTATGTGGACTAGTCCATATACTAGTTTATTGAATAGTCAACTGACAATTGACAAGTCAATCGACTCGTCTATGGACTGCTTAGCATAAAATATAAAAATGTAGTTAATATGTTTGATGTAAAAAGTGCTGAATCGACATCTTGTTTATGATAAATTGAAAGAGTGCTGAGTGAAATTATAAACCTTTGATAAATTATTATTATGAGGGCTTTTAAAAATATTTTTGTAAATTTGAAATTTGTTGCTGTTTTTAATACAATAATTTTCTTTTATATTACAAATCTAATCCAAACACAATTTCTTTTATTATCCACTTCTAGTACGTTCCTTTGGTACCGAAGATCGTGAAACACAATTTCAAATTGCACCTCAAAGCCAAATCTATGATTATATTCTGTTCCGTGGTTCCGATATTAAGGATATACGCGTCATCAACAATAGTCTACCACATCCCAATGATCCGGCTATTATGCAAGTACAATTGCCCAATGGACAACACGTGATGCCACATTTTTCAATGCCAAGCATGAATCCTCAACAAGTACCGCCAATGGGAACAACCGGTACATATGGTAATCCCTTTGGTACTATGAGTGGTTTAGGAGCTATCGGAGGTACCGGTGGAACTGGTGCTGTACCATCTTTAGCACCTGGAGCTGGTGCTCCAGGACCATTTATGATGGGTGGTAATCAACAACCTGTGCCACCACAACAAAAACCCCCACAGGGGCAACAGCCACAAACACAACAAAAACAACCAAGTAAGTATAAAACCTGGGTGGTGGTATAAATAAAAACACAACCTGCCAAATAAAAATGGATTTAGGGCGATTTTTATTACTACCACCCAGCAGAAACACTATAATAGAAATAATATTTGGGATACTATAGGGATTGCTTAACAGCTGTAAATGATGTATTATATTGAATTCTACTATGAATGATGATCTTGTTTAATTCTCTCAACGTTGTCTTATCTCTTTCGTTCTTTATTTCTTCGTACAGGCTGTAATACTACGGATACTAATAATTTGGGTACATCCTCCTTACTAACCACCGTCGATAGTATTGGCTCCAATCTTAACAACAGTAGTAGTGCTCCTCATAATAGTAATAGTAATACAAACTCCAATACTAATACTAATAACAGTAGCAACAACAACAATCATAATAATAATGCCATTAACAACGTTGGTCTCTTGGGCATTGGCCTTGGTATTGGTGGTTCAGGTGGTCTTCTTAGTAACATAGGCTTAGGTATTGGTGGAGTTGGTGGTGTTGTTGGTAATAATACATCGACAGCAGTTTCTGCTGCTGCTACAACATCCACAAATAAAAAATTATCCCTAACTAATGCAACGGCACTAAATGATCACAAAGACCAAGGTGTGAGGGTAAACTTTTCTTATAAGAAAAAAAAAAAAACTGAAAATCATATTACACCAATTGTTTTTTGTTTTCCCTAAATTTGGTTTCTTCTTTTTTAATTGTTTAATTTTTTGTTGTTTTTCGTTTTAAAATCAGAAAACATTGTTTCAACGCAGATCATTTCTTTGAGATCTACTTAAATAAGCTGAAAACTAGGTTTTAAATTCAGTCTATATATAGACTAGACTATAGACTATACCGTAGACTAGACTATATACTATACTGTAGACAACACTATAGACTAGACTATAGACTAGACTATATACTATACTGTAGACTAAGACTATAGACTAGAAACTAGACTAGACTAGACTAGACTAGACTAGACTATAGACTAGACTATAGACTAGACTATAGACTAGACTATAGACTAGACTATAGACTAGACTATAGACTAGACTATAGACTAGACTATAGACTAGACTATAGACTAGACTATAGACTAGACTATAGACTAGACTATAGACTAGACTATAGACTAGACTATAGACTAGACTATAGACTAGACTATAGACTAGACTATAGACTAGACTATAGACTAGACTATAGACTAGACTATAGACTAGACTATAGACTAGACTATAGACTAGACTATAGACTAGACTATAGACTTGTCTATAGACTAGACTATAGACTAGACTATAGACTAGACTATAGACTAGACTATAGACTAGACTATAGACTAGACTATAGACTAGACTATAGACTAGACTATAGACTAGACTATAGACTAGACTATAGACTAGACTATAGACTAGACTATAGACTAGACTATAGACTAGACTATAGACTAGACTATAGACTAGACTATAGACTAGACTATAGAGACTATAGACTAGACTATAGACTAGACTATAGACTAGACTATAGACTAGACTATAGACTAGACTATAGACTAGACTATAGACTAGACTATAGACTAGACTATAGACTAGACTATAGACTAGACTATAGACTAGACTATAGACTAGACTATAGACTAGACTATAGACTAGACTATAGACTAGACTATAGTATAGTCTATAGTCTTGTCTATAGTCTAGTCTAGTCTATACTGTAGACAACACTATAGACTAGACTATAGACTAGACTAGACTATATACTATACTGTAGACTAGACTATAGACTAGACTATAGACTAGACTATAGACTAGACTATAGACTAGACTATAGACTAGACTATAGACTAGACTATAGACTAGACTATAGACTAGACTATAGACTAGACTATAGACTAGACTATAGACTCTATAGACTAGACTATAGACTAGACTATAGACTAGACTATAGACTAGACTATAGACTAGACTATAGACTAGAATACGAGACTAGACTATAGACTAGACTATAGACTAGACTATAGACTAGACTATAGACTAGACTATAGACTAGACTATAGACTGACTATAGACTAACTATAGACTAGACTATAGACTAGACTATAGACTAGACTATAGACTAGACTATAGACTAGACATAGACTAGACTATAGACTAGACTATAGACTAGACTATAGACTAGACTTAGAACTAGACTAATAGACTAGACTATAGACTAGACTATAGACTAGACTATAGACTAGACTATAGACTAGACTATAGACTAGACTATAGACTAGACTATAGACTAGACTAGACTAGACTAGACTAGACTATAGACTAGACTATAGACTAGACTATAGACTAGACTATAGACTAGACTATAGACTAGACTATAGACTAGACGATAGACTAGACTATACTAGACTATAGACGAGACTATAGACTAGACTATAGACTAGACTATAGACTAGACTATAGACTAGACTATAGACTATAGACTAGACTATAGACTAGACTATAGACTAGACTATAGACCTAGACTATAGACTAGACTATAGACTAGACTATAGACTAGACTATAGACTAGACTATAGACTAGAACTATAGACTAGACTATAGACTAGACGAATAGACTAGACTATAGACTAGACTATAGACTAGACTATAGACTAGACTATAGACTAGACTATAGACTAGACTATAGACTAGACTATAGACTAGACTATAGACTAGACTATAGACTAGACTATAGACTGGACTAGACTATATGAAGCCACTTTATTAGTTTAAATGCACTATTTCATTTGTTTTTTATTCCATTTAAATTTGTTTCAAAGTAGATCCTTGGTCTATTGTGACTTCTGTGTCAAAACATTATTTCAAGTAGTTTAGAAGTCTGATTTGGTTAAGTATTTTTGTACATTATTTTACAGTTTAATTTTTTCATTTGTATGAGATATTTGCTTTGTTCCCCTGAGTACTAAGATTTTCAGGTTTCAGGAATATTTTTGTTAAACTAATCTTATTAAAACCTGCAAATCTACACAGTATGACAGCAAAACAATATTGAATTTTTTCTTAAATTTTCTTTCAATAAATTACGGTTAGTTTATATATTTTTTATAAATTGTTGTTGCTTTTGATTTATTTGTATTTTTGTTTATCACTTTAGTTCTTACAAATTGTATATTTTATAAAAACCTTTTTATTTTCATCAAACACATCATTACAATACACAAATTAAAAACACATTTCGAAAACAAAAACACAAACACATACAAATACATTATTCTTTTCTCTCTTCTTCCTTATTAAATGTTAATTTAATAAAGTTTCCGTCATAGACATGCTGGCTGGTGCTTCACGTTCAACGACGCCCATAAGTCTTATTTCACGAAAAAGTCCTTCTGCGGATATTGGCGTACAAGTGAATCAGAATCAACAGCAGCAACAGCAGACACATCAACAACAGCAACAGCTTCAACAGCAACATCATCACAATAATCAAAATCAAAATCAACACCAACAACAGCAGCATCAACATCCGAATCATCAGAATAATGCTGGCCATGGCGGTGGTGGTCAATCGCGTGATGCTGGTCATAAGCGACAAAATCATCAAAATCAACGTGGCGGCAATCAACAGCGCAATAATGATAACTATCGTTCGGGTGGTCGTATGATGGAGAACAACTATAACAATATGAATCATTACAATCGTAATAACCAGGGAGGCAATCAAAATCGCAACAATTGGAATACACACCGTGGTAACCTGCCCAACAACAACAATAACATGCGCAGCCGCGGCGGTGGACGTATCAACGTGCGTAACTTAATGGTAATGCCATTAGTTTGGCAGACATGTATATATCTAATCAATTTTTCTCTCTTTTTCCTCTCTTTTGTTATTTGCATTATCACCAAAAGCAGGGCTTTAGATCGGCAAATGGTCCCGGTGGCATGCAGAAGCCTTCACGTAATCCCATCAAATTTGAACAAGATTTTGATTTCGAACAAGCGAATACTAAATTCGAAGAACTGCGCTCTCAATTATCAAAACTTAAGGTGGGCGATGAACCCAAATCTGAACAGGTATCCTTTTTTAGTTTTCATTATTTCTTTTTTTATTGAGTTTCTTTGTATTAGAAATATTATTTGTGCATCTGTTAAGTTCTATTTGTTGTCAATTTGTATCTATTTTTTATTTCTAAAAACGGGCAAAAAAAGACAAGAGAAAATAATTTTGATTTTTTTTTTTAAATACATATGATTTTACGAAGAAAAAGGATACCACCAAAAACTTTTATACCTTTGTTTTCAATATCTACTATCTACTTATTTAGTTTAGTTTCAAAAATGTGTCTTCTTCGTTATTAACGTTATATTATCATATTATCATTTTACATTTCCATTTTATAGTTGAAATGTTTTAACACTACTTAAACTAGTTAACACTTCTAATAGTGGAGTACAATTTTGATTCAAGCTGCAGAGAAGCACATGTGGTTCCTTTTGGTCCCTTTGTGATACCTGTAAAGATAATAATAAAAAGATAAGAGAGGGAAAATAGTATGATTATGAAAGAGAGCGAATTAAAATTTGTAGATTTAGGAGGATAGCATGATGCAACTATTATTGTTATATTATTAGAGTATAGTATAGAGAGAGTAGTATAGAAGAGCGAGAAAGAACTGAAACGATAGATAGATATAGATAGATAGATAGATAGATAGATAGATAGATAGATAGATAGATGATAGATAGATAGATCGATAGATAGATAGATAGATAGATAGATAGATAGATAGATACTAGATAGATAGATAGATAGATAGATAGATAGATCGCTCGCTCGCTCGCTCTCTCGCTCGCTCGCTCGCTCGCTCGCTCGCTCGCTCGCTCGCTCGCTCGCTCGCTCGCTCGCTCGCTCGCTCGCTCGCTCGCTCGCTCGCTCGCTCGCTCGCTCGCTCGCTCGCTCGCTCGCTCGCTCGCTCTCGCTCGCTCGCTCGCTCGCTCGCTCGCTCGCTCGCTCGCTCGCTCGCTCTCGCTCGCTCGCTCGCTCGCTCGCTCGCTCGCTCGCTCGCTCGCTCGCTCGCTCTCGCTCTCTCTCGCTCGCTCGCTCGCTCGCTCGCTCGCTCGCTCGCTCGCTCGCTCGCTCGCTCGCTCGCTCGCTCGCTCGCTCGCTCGCTCGCTCGCTGCTCGCTCGCTCGCTCGCTCGATCGCTCGCTCTCCCTCGCTCGCTCGTCGCTCGTCTCGCTCGCTCGTAGCTCGTCGATCGTCGTCTCGCTCGTCGCTCGTTCGCTCGCTCGCTCGATCGCTCGCTAGCTCGCTCGTCTCGCTCGCTCGCTCGCTCGCTCGCTCGCTCGCTCGCTCTCTCGCTCGCTCGCTCGCTCGCTCGCTCGCTCGCTAGCTCGCTCGCTCGCTCTCGCTCGCTCGCTCTCTCGCTCGCTCGCTCGCTCGCTCCTCGCTCGCTCGCTCGCTCGCTCGCTCGCTCGCTCGCTCCTCGCTCGCTCGCTCGCTCGCTCGTCTCTCTCGCTCGCTCGCTCGCTCGCTCGCTCGCTGCTCTCTCGCTCGCTCGCTCTCTCGCTCGCTCGCTCGCTCGCTCGCTCGCTCGCTCGCTCGCTCGCTCGCTCGCTCGCTCGCTCGCTCGCTCGCTCGCTCGCTCGCTCGCTCGCTCGCTCGCTCGCTCGCTGCTCGCTCGCTCGCTCGCTCGCTCGCTCGCTCGCTCGCTCGCTCGCTCTCGCTCGCTCGCTCGCTCGTCGCTCGCTCGCTCGCTCGCTCGCTCGCTCGCTCGCTCGCTCGCTCGCTCGCTCTCCCTCTCTCTCGCTCGCTCGCTCGCTCGCTCGCTCGCTCGCTCGCTCGCTCGCTCGCTCGCCTCGCTCGCTCGCTCGCTCGCTCGCTCGCTCGCTCTCTCGCTCGCTCGCTCGCTCGCTCGCTCGCTCGCTCGCTCTCCCTCTCGCTCGCTCGCTCGCCCGCTCGCTCGCTCGCTCGCTCGCTCGCTCGCTCGCTCTCGCTCGCTCGCTCGCTCGCTCGCTCGCTCGCTCGCTCGCTCGCTCGCTCGCTCGCTCGCTCTCTCGCTCTCTCGCTCGCTCGCTCGCTCGCTCGCTCGCTCGCTCGCTCGCTGCTCGCTCGCTCGCTCGCTCGCTCGCTCGCTCGCTCGCTCGCTCGCTCGCTCTCTCGCTCGCTCGCTCGCTCGCTCGCTGCTCGCTCGCTCGCTCGCTCGCTCGCTCGCTCGCTCGCTCGCTCGCTCGCTCGCTCGCTCGCTCGCTCGCTCCCTCGCTCCTCTTTCCCCTTTGCTCCCCCTTTTCCCCTGCCGCTTTTTTTTCCCTCGCCCCTTCTCTCCTTTGCTGTCCGTCCGTCCTTTTCCGCTTCCCTTTCTCCCCCCGCGGCTGCCCTTTGTTGCCCGTTCCTACCCCCGCCTCTCCTTTTCTCTTCCCCTTATTATGATATTTATTTCCTACTGCGTCTAATTGATGTTTAAGAATGTAGTCAAAATGTTGCAAGAAAGAAATTCATTTAAAGACAACTAACTATAACAGACATAGCATATAGTAGAGTAACGTTATCTAAAAATGATTTGTATTATTAAAACATCTAACTGTGTATATTTCTTTTTTGTTTTTCCAATTTTTATTTCTATTAATATCACTACCACCACTACTATCATCACCAACAAACACCCTGCAACAAATTATCAAAACAACGCTAAAAAAAAACCCAAAATTAATTAAATTATTGGCTAAAATTTAAAATAATTAAATCTAATCCAATCCCCCCTGCATGGCTGACTGTTAAACTCCAAAACTCCTCTTCCACATACACTCCTGCTACTACTACTTCTACTACCACTCCACACAATATGTATTGCACAACCACCCTAACTACCCACTTAATTATGATTTATGTGTCTTGAATTCTTTGCAAAAACTTTGATTTCTATCACATCTTTCATTATTATTTAAATTTTAAATAAAAACACCTAACTACACCAAAACATATTAATAAAATCCCAACAAATAATGTGCATATGTATGTGTGTTGTGTGCATTGTGTCCATGGAACAAATAATTATGAAAACATTTTAACACAAATGATACAAAATTTAAAGTGTTCTTCGCCTACTCCCACTACTTCACAGATGAATGGTGAAACTGATAAGAAAGATGATTCTGGTAATGAAACTGGAGCTGGTGAGCATGAACCTGAAGAAGAAGAGATTACTGTAGGCTATGATAAAACCAAATCATTCTTTGATAATATCTCCTGTGAAACTGCACAAGATCGTGCAAAGAACAAGAATTATGATTGGCGTCAGGAACGCAAATTGAATAGTGAAACATTTGGCGTTTCATCTACAAGGCGTGGAGGGTAAGTTTGTAACACAATCATTCCATTCACCCTTTAAAACTAAACTTTAAACTACCTTTTTTTTTAATCGCTTTTTTTGCAGTTACCGTGGTCGTGGCAACTATTATAATAATCGTAATATGGGCAATTATAATAACGGCGGTGGTTATAATAATCGCGGCTATCGCGGCAATAACTATCGTAATCGCAGCAACAATCGCAGTAAAATGCATAATAATCGTGATGGCAGCACTTCAAATGGTGGCGGTGTTGGCAATACCAATAATATTACAAACAATCCTACAGCCAATAATAATGCTGCTACAAATTTGAAAAATCAAACGCAACAACCTTTAACTCCAGGTTCAGCTACAAATCATACTGCTAATAATACAACACCAGCGACCACATCAAAAACGGTGTCATCAGGTTTACAAGAGACTAATAATCAACCACAAATGGCGGCAGTTGGTGCAGGTGAGTTGAGTTTTTTTTTAAATGTATAATTTTCATCTGTCAAACACAAGTACATTTGAAAATTTGAAGCTAGTTCTCTCAATTATTAGAATTTAGAAAAAAACTAAAAATTTGAAATTATATTCGACATTTTCGAAAATTTGAAATTAAAACTTTTTTTAATAATCTCTAAATCTTCAGGATTAATAAAATAAACATTATCTAATTTTGAATTTGAAATGAATATTAAAGTAACTTCAAAGTAGTTTTAAAATAAAAGCTTTTGAAGATATTTTCGAAAATTCGAACTTATGTTCGAAAATTTTTGAAATCTATTAAAATAATCTCTAATCTTGAGGATTCATTAAAACTATACTTTTGTTGAATTTGACGCAAAATTTTCATAAATTTTTCAATTTCGAACTTTAAAATTTTGAAAATAATATAAAAATGTTCATCGATTTTTTTAGGTAGTTTCAAAGTAGTTACAGCATACATATACGCTTTTTAAGAATGTTTGAAAATTCGAACTAAATTCGAAAAATTTTGAAAGCTGTAAAAGTTGTCTCGAAATCATAAGGATTATGAATCCAAATAATTTTTGTTTAATTTGAGGAAAATTTCATATATTTTACAATTTCGAACTTCAAAATATTGCAAATAATTTAAAAATGTTCTTGAATTTTAAAGTACTTTCAACGTAATTACAGACATTTAATTAAGACATGTTCGAAAATTCGAATTTAATTTTGAAAAATTTTGAAATTTGTTCAAATAATCTAAATCATGAGGATTCATAAAATATATGTATTTGTCGAATTTGAGGCATACATTTTTTCATACTTTTTTCTATTTCGAACTTTAAAATTTTGAAAATAATTTACAAATTTTCATGGATTTTTTAAGCATTTTCAAAGTAGTTAAAGAGTATAAGCTTTTTAAGACATGTTCGAAATTTCGAACTTTAGTTCGAAAATTTTTTAAAGCGGTTAAAATTATCTCTCGATGAGGATTCAAATAATTTTAGTTTTATTTGTTGTCAAAATCGAACATTATCCCATTTCGAACTTAAAAATATTGAAATTAAATTAAAAAATTTAGTGAATTTTAATAAGTAATTGTAAAATATAAGCTTTTTAAGAAATGTTCAAAAATTCGAACATATGTTCGAAAAATTTTTAAAGCGGTTAAATTATCTCGAAATCATGAGAATTTATTAACAATCAATTTTAGTTTTATTTGTGGTCAAAATCGAACCTTAATTATCCCATTTCAAACTTAAAAATATTGTTCGAAAAATTTTTAAAACGTTAAAATTATCTCGAATAATAAGAATTTATAAACAAATAGAAAATCGAACATTATCGAATTTCGAACTTAAAAATTAATTTAAAAAATTTTGTTAATTTTAAAGTATTTTTCTATGTAGTTATTAACTATTGAAAGCATGTTCGAAAATTCGAACTTATGTTCGAAAAATTTTGAAATTTGTTAAAATAATCTCTAAATCATGAAGCTTAATAAAAAACTATCTTTTGTTGAATTTGAGGCAAATTTTTCATACATTTTCCAATTTCGAACTTTAAAATTTTGAAAATAATTTTCAAATTTTCATGTATTTTTTAGGTATTTTCAAAGTAGCTACAGAATAAACGTTTTTTAAGACATGTTCAAAATTTCGAATTTAAGTTCGAAAACTGTAAAAATGACCTCCAAATAATAAGGATTCATAAAAATATTGTTAGAGTTTTAATTTAATTGTATTTTAATTGATCTAATTGATTGTATTTTTGTTTTTATCAATTTTCTTTTATAGGTCAATAATCTTTTGTGTTGGTATCTACTACATGAGATAAGTTCAAAAAAATTCATTAAACAAAAAGAAAAAAAAAAACATCAAAAGGAATTTTTATAACAAACCTTAAAAAAGTACATTTTGTGCATCAAAAGTATTTTTTTTTAAACTGCTGACGTCCTTCGCTCCCATCTACGAAAAATTTAAAATTAAACAAACAAACAAAAAATGCAAATTATATATAGATGAAATCACCAACAAGCTCTTAATAAGAAGAGAACAAAAAATCTTAAAAGGATATAAATAATTAAATTTTAGCATAAATATATTACTAAAAAGAAAATACTTTATACACAGCAAAACAACTGTTCAATACAACTGGATAGAAATAATTCTAAAGATAAAATTATGGGTTAAAAAAAGGCGGCACATGAAGAATCATTTATATATTAAAGAAGAAAAAAAAAAACACAAACAAACAAATCAAGAAAGAAGATAAATTATAAAATTAAAAGAAAAATAAACATTTTAAAGATGTTAGCATAAAATAGTTATAGAGAGAAAACAAAAAACAAAATGAAAAGATAATAAGTAATAATTTATATTTGGAAATAAAAATGAAATGAAAATTTAAAGAAATAAGAAAGAAATATATCCCCCCATTACACACAATACTGAAGAAACTAATTTAGAAAAGGAAATTGTTTGAAAAAGAACTACTAAACAAAAAAAAGAAATGTAATAAAAAAGGCGCTTTACAAAAATTTAAAAAAAAGTATACAATTTTTTTAAGTAATAACGAAGAGAGCTAGAGAAGCAAACCCGAAGAAATGAGAAAGAGAGAGAGAGAGGGGAGTAAAAAAAGTTTTGTTTTTAACAAAACTATAATTTTTTTTGTTGTTGTGGAAGTGGTCGAGTTGCATTTATTGGAATAAACTTTAATGCTGAAGATGATGGTATGAATATTTATAAAATTTAAATTAAATTGAACAAAAAAAAATTGTAAAATTGAAACAAAAATTTTTTTATAAATATAAATACAACACAAAACAATATATTAATTTATAAATAAAAAAACTAACATTTGAAAACAGCAGCATGTTTAATTGGTTTTCACACATTAAACGAATGAGAGAAAAAGGAAAATCTACAAAGAAGAGAGTGAGCTTTTTTTGGGAGTAGTACCTACTGCAAACATATTAATTAATAACATATTTAAATGGCGTTAGTTTAATAATTAATTAGAAATGTTTATTATTTTAAATTATATTATTAATTAATACATAGTTTTTTAAGTTTATCAATGTCGCAACGACTTATGATTTTTTTCCTAAAAAAAATATAAAACACAAACATTGGACCTCAAACAAGTACTAAAGAAACGAAATAATTAAAAAAAACGAATTCGCCAAAAAAACGATATTCCAAAATTTAGTAGAAAAAAAAAAAAAAAAACAAAAACAAATTGAAAATAAAATTCAAAGAATTTTATTGAAACATCTTTTTTGTTTTAATAGTAAACTTTAAATAAAAAAACTATTTTTTAAAACTTATACTTATTAATATATTTTTAATTTAACACAGATTGTCTTTAATTATGTTAAAAATTTATTATTAATTTAATTAAATTAAGCTTTATTATTTGTTTTACTATTTACTCTACAAACATTTATATAGAAAAAAGCCACAATTTTGTAAGCCCCCTTCTAACAACACAACAAGACTTCTTTCTTAAAGAAAATTTTATTAAGTTTTCCTTTAAAAGAAAACCCTACCACCCCCACCCACCTCTTTATAATATAAAGTAAATACCCTCATACCGGTCTCTTTTGATTTAAAATCATTAAGTTAAAAACAAACAAATCCTTGGATTTTCAAAAATATATATTAAAAACAATCAGCGCCAGTGTTAATTTTTTTTTTTTGGTTATTTATATCTACTAACTAGATTTTTAATCTTTTAAGTTTATTTTTTTTAACTAAACTACGCTCTACCTCTCTCTCTCTCTCTCCCTCTGTTTAAAAGCTAAAATAACACGTTTGTATACTAAAATAAAAACAAAAAATTTAAATGAAAACTCCACAACGTTTTTTTTTTACTCATTTTTTGTATTACCCTTAAAACTTAAGCTCACTCTCTGTTAAATTATTACAAAAAAGAAAAAAAATTTAAAAATTTTATTATATAAATTTTAAAAAAAGCATACAAAAACAAACAAACAAAAATATATATACACAGAAATATGTATTTTGAAATTTATCATTAAAATCTTATAAATAAAGCGTAAAACAAAAATTAAATCATTGTCAAAAATAAAAAAACAAAAATAAAATAATAAAACAAATTAATAATAAATAATAAATTTGTGTAGTATATAAAAGGTTTATAAAAGTTTTATCCTTATTATTAAAATTAAAGAGAATTAAAAAAATACTTAACGTGTATAACTTATTTTCATTAGCTGTTAACTTAAAAGATCACACACACGCACATTTTGTAAACAAAGAAAATTTTAATTTGTTTGCATTTTAGATTGATTTTCAATATAATTAAAAAGTCATCGCTAAGTTTAAAGTGCTTACTGTGCCAATTATTTAGTTTGCCACTGTATATTTTTTATTATTTTAAAATTAATTGGTAAATCTTGTTATTTGAAAATAATTTTCGTTGAATTGCTTTTTAAAGAAAATTTCCTGTTTTTTATAAAACATTTTCCATTCACATTTTTTTTTCAATTTCTTTGTGTTAGTAAATCATTAAAACACCCGCTATTGCAATCTGACAACAGAATAAGTGATCGTGATATGCCATAAACAAATTAATAATATTTCTAGCAAAGAAAATCAAAGCACATAAATAAATACACTCATACTAAATTATTTACAAACGCAAGTGTAAGAACGAAACACACCCTAAAGAAAAGCTGGGGGTTAAGAGTTTAGTCTATACTAGACTATAGACTAGCCTATATGCTAGGCAATAGACTACACTATGAACTAGACTATAGAGTAGACTATATTAGACTATATAATAGACTATAAACAAGACTAGACTGCACTATAAACTAGACTATAAACAAGACTATAGAAGAACACACTATAAACAAGACTATAAACTAGACTATAGGCTAGACAATAGACTAGTCTATAGACTAGACTATAGACTAGACTACAGCCTAGACTATAGACTACACTATAGACTAGACTATAGACTAGACTACAGACTAGACTATAGACTAGACTATAGACTAGACTATAGACTAGACTATAGACTAGACTAGACTAGACTATAGACTAGACTATAGACTAGACTATAGACTAGACTATAGACTAGACTATAGACTAGACTATAGACTAGACTATAGACTAGACTATAGACTAGACTATAGACTAGACTATAGACTAGACTATAGACTAGACTATAGACTAGACTATAGACTAGACTATAGACTAGACTATAGACTAGACTATAGACTAGACTATAGACTAGACTATAGACTAGACTATAGACTAGACTATAGACTAGACTATAGACTAGACTATAGACTAGACTATAGACTAGACTATAGACTAGACTATAGACTAGATAGACTAGACTAGACTATAGACTAGACTATAGACTAGACTATAGACTAGACTATAGACTAGACTATAGACTAGACTATAGACTAGACTATAGACTAGACTATAGACTAGACTATAGACTAGACTATAGACTAGACTATAGACTAGACTATAGACTAGACTATAGACTAGACTATAGACTAGACTATAGACTAGACTATAGACTAGACTATAGACTAGACTATAGACTAGACTATAGACTAGACTATAGACTAGACTATAGACTAGACTATAGACTAGACTATAGACTAGACTATATACTAGACTATAGACTAGACTATAGACTAGACTATAGACTAGACTATAGAATAGACTATAGACTAGATTATAGACTAGACTATAGACTAGACTATAGACTAGACTATAGACTAGACTAGACTATAGACTAGACTATAGACTAGACTATAGACTAGACTATAGACTAGACTATAGACTAGACTATAGACTAGACTAGACTATAGACTAGACTATAGACTAGACTATAGACTAGACTATAGACTAGACTATAGACTAGACTATAGACTAGACTATAGACTAGACTATAGACTAGACTATAGACTAGACTATAGACTAGACTATAGACTAGACTATAGACTAGACTATAGACTAGACTATAGACTAGACTATAGACTAGACTATAGACTAGACTATAGACTAGACTATAGACTAGACTATAGACTAGACTATAGACTAGACTATAGACTAGACTATAGACTAGACTATAGACTAGACTATAGACTAGACTATAGACTAGACTATAGACTAGACTATAGACTAGACTATAGACTAGACTATAGACTAGACTATAGACTAGACTATAGACTAGACTATAGACTAGACTATAGACTAGACTATAGACTAGACTATAGACTAGACTATATAGACTAGACTATAGACTAGACTATAGACTAGACTAGACTAAGACTATAGACTAGACTATAGACTAGACTATAGACTAGACTATAGACTAGACTATAGACTAGACTATAGACTAGACTAGACCTAGACTATAGACTAGACTATACTACTAGACTATGACTAGACATAGACTAGACTAGACTATAGACTATAGACTAGACTATAGACTAGACTATAGACTAGACTATAGACTAGACTATAGATAGACTAGACTATAGACTAGACTATAGACTAGACTATAGACTAGACATACTAGACTGACTATAGACTAGACTATAGACTAGACTATAGACTAGACTATAGACTAGACTATAGACTAGACTATAGACTAGACTATAGACTAGACTATAGGACTAGACTATAGACTAGACTATAGACTAGACTATAGACTAGACTATAGACTAGGACTATAGACTAGACTATAGACTAGACTATAGGACTAGACTATAGACTAGGACTATAGACTAGACTATAGACTAGACTATAGACTAGACTATAGACTAGACTATAGACTAGACTATAGACTAGACTATAGACTAGACTATAGACTAGACTATAGACTAGACTATAGACTAGACTATAGACTAGACTATAGACTAGACTATAGACTAGACTAGACTAGACTATAGACTAGACTATAAACTAGACTATAGACTAGACTATAGAGACTAGACTATAGACTAGACTATAGACTACACTATAAACAAGACTATAAACTAGACTATAGACTAGACTATAGACTAGACTAGACTATAGACTAGACTATAGACTAGACTAGACTATAGACTAGACTATAGACTAAACTATAGACTAGACTATAGACTAGACTATAGACTAGACTATAGACTAGACTAGACTATAGACTAGACTATAGACTAGACTAGACTATAGACTAGACTATAGACTAGACTAGACTATAGACTATACTATAGACTAGACTATAGACTAGACTATAGACTAGACTATAGACTAGACTATAGACTAGACTATAGACTATACTAGACTATAGACTAGACTATAGACTAGACTATAGACTAGACTATAGACTAGACTATAGACTAGACTATAGACTAGACTATAGACTAGACTATAGACTAGACTATAGACTAGACTATAGACTAGACTATAGACTAGAATAGACTAGACTATAGACTAGACTATAGACCAGACTATAGACTAGACTATAGACTAGACTATAGACTAGACTATAGACTAGACTATAGACTAGACTATAGACTAGACTATAGACTAGACTATAGACTAGACTATAGACTAGACTATAGACTAGACTATAGACTAGACTATAGACTAGACTATAGACTAGACTATAGACCAGACTATAGACTAGACTATAGACTAGACTATAGACTAGACTATAGACCAGACTATAGACTAGACTATAGACTAGACTATAGACTAGACTATAGACTAGACTATAGACTAGACTATAGACTAGACTATAGACTAGACTATAGACAAGACTATAGACTAGACTATAGACTAGACTATAGACTAGACTATAGACAAGACTATAGACTAGACTATAGACTAGACTATAGACTAGACTATAGACTAGACTATAGACTAGACTATAGACTAGACTAGACTAGACTAGACTAGACTAGACTATAGACTAGACTATAGACTAGACTATAGACTAGACTAGACTAGACTAGACTATAGACTAGACTATAGACTAGACTATAGACTAGACTATAGACTAGACTATACTAGACTATAGACTAGACTATAGACTAGACTATAGACTAGACTATAGACTAGACTATAGACTAGACTATAGACTAGACTATAGACTAGACTATAGACTAGACTATAGACTAGACTATAGACTAGACTATAGACTAGACTATAGACTAGACTATAGACTAGACTATAGACTAGACTATAGACTAACTAGGACTATAGACTATAGACTAGACTATAGACTAGACTATAGACTAGACTATAGACTAGACTATAGACTAGACTATAGACTAGACTATAGACTAGACTATAGACTAGACTATAGACTAGACTATAGACTAGACTATAGACTAGACTATAGACTAGACTATAGACTAGACTATAGACTAGACTATAGACTAGACTATAGACTAGACTATAGACTAGACTATAGAGTAGACTATAGACTAGACTATAGACTAGACTATAGACTAGACTATAGACTAGACTATAGACTAGACTATAGACTAGACTATAGACTAGACTATAGACTAGACTATAGACTAGACTATAGACTATAGACTAGACTATAGACTAGACTATAGACTAGACTATAGACTAGACTATAGACTAGACTATAGACTAGACTATAGACTAGACTATAGACTAGACTATAGACTAGACTATAGACTAGATTATAGACTAGACTATAGACTAGACTATAGACTAGACTATAGACTAGACTATAGACTAGACTATAGACTAGACTAGACTAGACTATAGACTAGACTATAGACTAGACTAAGAGACTATAGACTAGACTATAGACTAGACTATAGACTAGACTATAGACTAGACTATAGACAATTAGACTAGGTAGACTAGACTATAGACTAGACTATAGACTAGACTATAGACTAGACTATAGACTAGACTATAGACTAGATTATAGACTAGACTATAGACTAGACTATAGACTAGATTATAGACTAGACTATGTTAGAAAATACTTAAAAAAAGTACAAGAGAACTGAATATTCCATACGCTATTGACATTTCCTGCAGGGTTGTTGAGCTCTTTACATGTGTTTCTGTTTCATCTGTCTTTCCCCTCATGAAATGCTTTTAAAAAAACATTTCAGTTTTCTAGTGAGATGCGCATTCTACAATTATGATTTATATTTTTTTGGCCAATTTAACTGACAATTAATTTCATGCAAACAAAACAAAAGAAGGAACATATTGGATGATATATTCTAACTTAATAGCTTATTACCGCAAAATAAAAAAAATTCTTATTATTTTTAGAGATAAAAATTTATAAAAGCCGAAATTTTCAATTTAAAAGCAACAGTTTTCATTAAAACGTTCTAAGGATAACACACTATACAATAACAATAACAAAGAAAAGCGTCTGCCAAAATGTTAGATTGGACTAGTAAACATGTTGTCTATGTTGGTGGCTTTACCGGCGTTGGTTATCAAGTCTGTCAAATGCTTATGAAGAAACGAATTAAGGTGAGAGAGCGCTTTGACAAAGGCAAAAATAGTCTTCTAATTATAGTCTAATTTTTGTTTTGTTTTATAGTTCTTAGTTGTTTGTGGTTCAATGGAAAATGTTGAAATGTTGAAGAAATTGCAGGCAATAAACAGTGAGATCAAGGTACTGTTTGTTCAAGTGAATATTGCCGATTATTCGAGTATTGTCAAGGCTGTACAAGAAGTTATTAGTTATGTGGGTAATGTTGATGTTTTGATCAATGGGGCTGACGTTTTAGCTGATAAGGATATTGATACAACGGTGGCTGTTAATTTGGTAAGTTAATCAATCACTCCTATTCTGCATTGCGATCACTTTCGAATTGAATTACAGAAAATTAAAGTTGCTAAACGGAGAAAATTTCGAATCGAATTGAAAAGCAAAATAGGGGTGAATAATTTATTGACAATCGGCTAATGGACTAATTTAGAAAATTCAAAAATTTAATGCTATAATTGTAAATTCATCAAAGGCCTAAAATTGTAAATTATTTTTATATTCTCCAACAATTTTAGACTGGTCTAATTAATACCACCGTATTGTTTTTGCCCCATATGGATAAAACTCAATTCGGACATGGTGGTACTGTAGTAAACATGTCTTCAGTCTATGGCCTAGAACCTGGACCAGCTTTTAGTGTTTACTCAGCTGCTAAACATGGTGTTATAGGTTTTACAAGATCTATGGCGGTAAGATTTGTTATTTTTATCCCTAAAACAAGACCATAAAACATTTTCGTATTTCCCCATTTGCAGCATGAACACTACCATAGTAAAACTGGTGTCGCCTTCATTTGCATTTGTCCCGGCCTCACCTCTTCCGAAGAGATGATGAATAAACGTGATATGAATTGGATGAAATGGGTATCACATAATGAGGAAATTTGGAATATTGTTAAGGAGGCCAAAATGATAACGCCACAAGAATGTGCCGTACATATGATGCATGTCATGGAGAGAGCTGTAAATGGTGGCATTTATGTTTGTAGTGTTGGTGTCATGAAAGAAATTCAACCTACGGTTTATGTCGATTATTAAGTGTTGAAATTTTGTGGAGTTAAATGCATACATAAATTATGAACAGATTGAAGGTCTTATTTAAATACTTATGTAAAATAAAGATTTTTTAAAAAAATAACAAGAAAAATAATAATTTTATTTCTTTTCACTTTTTTCCGTTATAAACATAATTATACAAACCTATTCTGCATTTCTATTCGAATCGAAATTTTATTCGTTTGGCAATTTGTATAAGAACTTGCAAAAACTTAGCTACGATCGCAATGCGGAATACCTACAATCGCAAAGCAATGAAACGAAATGGAATTACATATCTATAGACTAGACTATAGACTACACTGTAGACAAGACTATAAACTAGACTATATATTAGACTACAGACTAGGCTATAAATTCGACTATAGAATAGGTTATTGACTGGACTATAAACAAGTCAATAGACTAGACTATAAACTAGACTAAGGAGTATAGTCCACTCCATAGTCTTTATAGTATAGTCTACTCCATAGATTGTAGACTAGACTATGAACTAGACCTGGGATCGGCAAACTTTTGAGTCGGAAGAGCCTTTGGATGCATATCAGGAAATGTAAAATCACGAACATTTATGACGCAGCTTCCGTAAAATTTGTATATATTAACAGAAAACTGAACAGTATACAGATTATTTTGACTAATTAGCCGAATTTTATTTAATATCTTTGGCATGATGACAAAAACGCCTTGCCTAATAATTACACAGGCCAACAAAATTTAAAAAAAAGTCAACATCCAGAGACCAAAGTGTACTTTTTTAAAGGATTGAGCAGCACTGAATCCAAATGGTATACAACTGTCAATTTTTGGGACTGTTCGACAGCGTAGAGGAGGGGGCAAAGGAACTTTTCGAAGTCGGATGTCTAATTTTACAGATTCTCTGGAGCATCGTTGTAATGTGTTTCACTGTTTTAACAATATTACTATGGAATTTGTTCCTCCTTCCTGCATGAGACACCTGCAATCTAAATAGATTTAAATAGAATAGAATAAAGGCAAACACGACTCCCTCTATCCTCCTTCCCATAACCTAATTTCCGACACAGTAGGGCTGAGTAAGAAAAAATATTTTTCGAATTACCGAAAATGTTTTTTTGAAAAAAAAAAAACGATATTTTTATAATGCGTAAATAATAATTTCGATTCATTAATGTATGACGTGAAATACATACGTATTTCTGTTTTAAATTTTGAGAGATATTGCGTCATGTATTTAAAAAATAAAACTACGAGCACTTCTTAAATTTCTTTTTAGCAATACTTTGCTATTGCGTCATATATTTTTATGAATAATAGGTCCATTATGAAATATACATATTCTTTTTCAATTAAAAAAAAAAAACTTTTAAAAAATAAAAACATAATTTTATTTAAATAACACAGGCCAACAACATTTGAAAAAAGTCAAAACCTTGTGACCAGAAAATTTATTCATTACATCAGGTTTTCGAGTTATCGTGTCATAAAGTTTGAAAAAAAAACTCCGTTTTTGGCAATACTTAAGAAGTTATTTAAAAAATCTGTCATCTAAAAATTCTAATCTGTCGATTTTAAAATAAAGGTTAAGAGGTTTAACCTTCTCCGATGTATCTTAACTTAAAGTTTTAAACAATATACGGTCCCTGATTTTCACAAGAACTTACTGATCACTATGTTAATTTAAGTACGTAACACGATCACCATTGTTTTCCAATACAGTTCTAAATATTCTAACAAAAAATAAATAAATTTAAAATATCTTTAGGTCAGACTTAACTGACTGTTAATTGCATTCAAACAAAACAAAAAAATGAATGATACATTCTAATAAGAGCCTATGACTGCAAAACAAAAAATGCATTTCTTAACATTTTTGATAACAAAAATTTATAAAAGCCGAAATTTTCAATTTATAAACAACAGTTGTTGTTAAAACGTTCTCAGGAAAGCATATAACACAATAAGAATAAAATATTCTGCCAAAAATGTTCGATTGGACCAATAAACATGTTGTCTATGTGGGTGGCTTCACTGGCGTTGGTTATCAAGTCTGTCAAATGCTTATGAAGAAACCAATTAAGGTGAGAGAGAGAGAGCGCGTAAATAAAGGAAATCAAATATTTAACAAAAATATTATAAAATTGTATTTTTTTTTTTAAATAAATTGCAGTACTTAGTTGTTTGTGGTCGCATGGAAAATGTTGAAATGTTAAAGAAATTGCAGGCTATTAACAGTGAGGTTAAGGTGTTGTTTGTCCAGGTGAATGTTGCAGAGTATTCGAGTATTGTTAAGGCTGTACATGAAGTAATTAGCTATGTGGGTCATGTTGATGTTTTGATCAATGGGGCTAGCGTTTTGGCAGATAAGGATATTGGTACAACTGTGGCTGTTAATTTGGTAAGTGAATAATATTAATAATTTTAAATTTATGTATGTATATAAAAGTTTCAAAAAATCTGTGAAATATTGCGGTAATTAATGTTTTTAAAGTGGATTTGAAAACCGATTTGTTCCGTAAATGGAACGGCTTGTCTCAGCAAAACTACTTTTGATTTTAGAACAACGACCTTGGAACTAGTTATTTCACCACTACTTCCTTTCTAACTAACTAACCAACTAACCAACTAACTGACTAACTAACTAACTAACTAACTAACTAACTAACTAACTACTACTAACTAACTAACTAACTACTACTAACTAACTAACTAACTAACTAACTAACTAACTAACTAACTAACTAACTAACTACTAACTAACTAACTAACTAACTAACTAACTAACTAACTAACTAACTAACTAACTAACTAACTAACTAACTAACTAACTAACTAACTAACTAACTAACTAACTAACTAACTAACTAACTAACTAACTACTAACTAACTAACTAACTAACTAACTAACTACTAACTAACTAACTAACTAACTAACTAACTAACTAACTAACTAACTACTAACTAACTACTAACTAACTAACTAACTAACTACTAACTAACTAACTAACTAACTAACTAACTAACTAACTAACTAACTAACTACTAACTAACTAACTAACTAACTAACTAACTAACTAACTAACTAACTAACTAACTAACTAACTAACTAACTAACTAACTAACTAACTAACTAACTAACTAACTAACTAACTAACTAACTAACTAACTAACTAACTAACTAACTACTAACTAACTAACTAACTAACTAACTAACTAACTAACTAACTAACTAACTAACTAACTACTAACTAACTAACTAACTAACTAACTAACTAACTAACTAACTAACTAACTAACTAACTAACTAACTAACTAACTAACTACTAACTAACTACTAACTAACTAACTAACTAACTAACTAACTAACTAACTAACTAACTAACTAACTAACTAACTAACTAACTAACTAACTAACTAACTACTAACTAACTAACTAACTAACTAACTAACTAACTAACTAACTAACTAACTAACTAACTAACTAACTAACTAACTAACTAACTAACTAACTAACTAACTAACTACTAACTACTAACTAACTAACTAACTAACTAACTAACTAACTAACTAACTAACTAACTAACTAACTAACTAACTAACTAACTAACTAACTAACTAACTAACTAACTAACTAACTAACTAACTAACTAACTAACTAACTAACTAACTAACTAACTAACTAACTAACTAACTAACTAACTAACTAACTACTAACTAACTAACTAACTAACTAACTAACTACTAACTAACTAACTAACTAACTAACTAACTAACTAACTAACTAACTAACTAACTAACTAACTAACTAACTAACTAACTAACTAACTAACTAACTAACTAACTAACTAACTAACTAACTAACTAACTAACTAACTAACTAACTAACTAACTAACTAACTAACTAACTAACTAACTAACTAACTAACTAACTAACTAACTAACTAACTAACTAACTAACTAACTAACTAACTAACTAACTAACTAACTAACTAACTAACTAACTAACTAACTAACTAACTAACTAACTAACTAACTAACTAACTAACTAACTAACTAACTAACTAACTAACAACTAACTAACTAACTAACTAACTAACTAACTAACTAACTAACTAACTACTAACTAACTAACTAACTAACTAACTAACTACTAACTAACTAACTAACTAACTAACTAACTAACTAACTAACTAACTAACTAACTACTAACTAACTAACTAACTAACTACTAACTAACTAACTAACTAACTAACTAACTAACTAACTAACTAACTAACTAACTAACTAACTAACTAACTAACTAACTAACTAACTAACTAACTAACTAACTAACTAACTAACTAACTAACTAACTAACTAACTAACTACTAACTAACTAACTAACTAACTAACTAACTAACTACTACTAACTAACTAACTAACTAACTAACTACTAACTAACTACTACTACTAACTAACTAACACTAACTAACTAACTAACTAACTACCTAACTAACTACTAACTAACTAACTAAAACTAACTAACTAACTAACTAACTAACTAACTAACTAACTAACTAACTAACTAACTAACTACTCACTAACTACTACTAACTAACTAACTAACTACTACTAACTAACTACTAACAACTAACTACTAACTAACTAACTAACTACTAACGAACTAACTAACTAACTACTAACTAACTAACTAACTAACTAACTACTACTAACTAACGAACTACCTAACTACTAACTAACTAACTACTAACTAACTAACTAACTAACTACTAACTAACTAACTACTAACTAACTAACTAACTAACTAACTAACTCTAACTAACTAACTAACTAACTAACTAACTAACTAACTAACTAACACTAACTAACTAACTACTAACTACCTACGAACTACCTAACTAACTAACTACTAACTAACTAACTAACTAACTACTAACTACCTAACTAACTAACTAACTACTAACTCACTAACTAACTAACTAACGAACTACCTAACTAACTAACTAACTACTACTAACTAACTAACTAACTACTAACTAACTAACTAACTAACTAACTAACTAACTAACTAACTAACTAACTAACTAACTAACTAACTACTA